CAGACACTTCCACCTCACCTTTGTGAAGTCATGTTGCTACCCTCTCTTCAGAGTCCACAGGACACTTGGCTGTCCTTCGTCATCAGACCATCAATGCTGTCCATGTAACTCTTACTTCTGACGACTGGGTTCTTGAAGAATGTGACATCTTGACGTGTACCCACCCCGAACTGCTCCGGCAAGATTTGTTCCCTTTGATATTTTCACTTTTAAAATTATTCCTTTAGGTTAAGAGGGCCCAAGGACTTTATTAAGTGAGAAATTCTTGACAGAGAAGTTATAATACACAGATGCTACCAGGAATTCATACCTGGGGCAGAGCCTTGTGGTCTGCATGGGCAGGTGAGCCCTGAAGGAGGAGAAGCCTGGAAAATGATCTGCTTTACACACAGGAAGGCAGGCGCCGGGCATGGCGTCACAGAGCAGCAGACTCACCCTCTGGTTTGCAAATGTGCTCACCATTGGCCTGCAGCAGCATAGCGTCACCCACAGCAGCTAAGGATGGTGTTGGGATGTTCTAGACCTGAGGGATTGGTGAGAATCCCTAATAGTCCCCCAGGTCCCTTTTCTAGATCAGGTAGCCCCAAGATCAATGCGATCTCATCCACCTGCCCATGGGTTAGTGAGCCCTGAGGTCAGCCTCACTTATGGAAAGGGGCTGAGCCTGGCTCTGCAAAGGTCAGGGTCCACCAGCTCTGTGTGACCTCCTTGCCTTCACTCACAGAGTGACACGAAATAAGTCTAAGCTTATGTGGCTGATCCCTGACAGTTCAGACTTCTATGGTCAACCCTCTGTGGTCAAGGGTCCTCCCCACCTTGTCCATTCCTGTGCCTCGGTGGGAGGAGAACAATTGCCAGGGAATTTCCACAGAATGGGGAGGTGGGGCCTAATCGTCCCTGCTGCCATGTTGAATTACTGTGTGCTCTTTGGAAACCCAGCATCATACAGTGGTGTCCTTCACACTCTGAGAAGACACAGGCTTACAAACCCAGGATCATTACAAACTTTTGTCACTCTCAACTTGGGGACAGGGATTATTATAGTTCCAATTCTATGTGTGAGGAAAAGAAACTAAGTCCCTACATCTTTCACCTAAGGCCGCACTTGCCTATCAGAGCTGAGGCAGGGTCCAGCTCTGGAACGAACAGCATCCTAAAGGTGGTTACCTCACTTTCAACATTCCTTGTGCTATAAACAGCGGGGAAAGGCAGGGTGGAGACCAGGAGGGACAACTGTGTACTAATTACCCATCTCTTGTCCCAAACACTGAAAGAGAAAAGATAAATCTTCCTAGTCTCAGCATGTCTGAATAAACAATGATCAAATGTCTCTCTACCAGCCAGGAGCAGGTAAGGAATTTATGAATACCTGTTCAACAAAGCAAATGGATCCCTTAAACCATGGAGAGGAACACCGAGCACTCTTGCTGAATGTCTAGGACTCCATGGGCATGGCTGTGACATCTGAGCATCCAAAGTGTCATGGTTAATCTCAGTTGTCAGTTTGATTGGATTGAGAAATACTCAGGAGACTTGAGCAGCCCACTACACACTTTGGGGTGTAGAGAGAGGTTTCCAGAGATGACTAGAACATGAGGGTCTGGCCCAATGAACAGATTCATCCCATGATGGATCCCTAACCCAGTGGCACTGTCGGCAGGTGGCGAGAAGTAGAGGTGGCTAACTAGCAGGTCCCTGGGGGCATGTCCTTGGGGCTGTATGTTGCCCTGGCCCTCCCTGGCCCCTTCCTCCCTGGTGATATCCTGTATTCCATGTCTCTGCTTTCCGGCCACCACAATGTTGGTGGCTTTGCACTGCCATGCCCTCTCGATGGACTGACACCTTCTTAACTGTGAGCCAAATAAGTCTTTCTTACTGTGTTTCTCAGGCATTTGTCACAGGTTGAAAAGTTGGACGACCACTGAAGGAGGAACTCTGTTGTGAAAGACATAGAACACCAACGCTAGGCCACGAGCAGTAACTGGAAGGGATCACTAGCAGGTTGGAATCTCATGCCCAAATTCAGAGTTCAACTTACATTGAAATTATCAGATTCTGAGAGATTTGGTCTTAATATTCTGATGGTGGTTTTAATTTTAAATTTCTGTAATTGAATGCAGTTCAAACTTCTTTCCTTTGATTTCTGAAACACACTTCGAGGTCACTAAAATTCAGAGCAGATCAGAAAAATAAGGTTGTGTGAGCCATTTAAATTGTTCCTTGTGCTCAAGGGTACTTGCTGTGGAAACGATTCTCACTAATGTTGCCCTCACTTTGCCAAGAGTCCTCGATGAAAATCCACAGCTGAATTAATATCTTTCTCTCTTTTCACATGGAGTCCTGCTCTTTTGTACCCCAGGCCCGAGGTCAGAGTTGAGCTGTAAATGTGTGTCATGAGATCTTTTCTACAGCAGGGTCTTCCTTTGGAATTTTCCTCTTTGTCAGGTTCGAGCACTTCTGTTGGTTCCCATGTCCTTCAAATCCCACGTGCTGCATGTATGAGCAGACTCCACACACAAGGAGACACCTGCAATTCATTTCCTTGTCATTTAGGATTATGGGCATTTGTAGGTTTCCTCCTAAAAGCTGTCAGTCAAACTTCAAGATGAATATTTATCATCAATGTCACCAAAATGAATTATAGGTCCTACTTAGAATGACATTCGGTGAAATGCCTATAGGTAAATGTAAATTACCTATGTAATAAAATTGTAAATTAAATCAGGATTAAACTGGATTAAGATAATTTCTTGTACTAACACTTGATCAGTAGAAAGTTTTCTTTCTTTCTGTTCATGTGGGGCATCAGTGCATAACTGCTCCTGAGTGCACAGGAGGCTTGCAGAGTCGTGAGTGCGGTGGTCACTGACTCAGGGACAGAATGGACACTGGGGTTGTGACGGACAGGCCTTGGCCCATGGCCAAGCAGGTGGCTGTGGACAATTCGCTGAGCCCATAAACCTTGCTTTTTCATCTGGAAAGGAAGAACTCAGGATTGATGGCACCTGCCCACTATGAGCTGTGAGCTGCAGGGAGGGACTTAGTGCAAGAGGCTTAGCCAGCGTGGGCTGACGCGGTTCCCACACATGCCAGCTAGACACCATAGGTGGTTCTTATTTCTTTCTGAATAAAATACAAAAATGAGAGAATTTTTGGATTAATGGCATATCCCAAATAAAAGCACACTAATTTCCAACCCAATTCCCACTTTAAAAGGCCTGGGAGAGCAGATGCTGACGTCCCTGAGGACTCTGGCTCTGGAATGGCGCCATGACTGTGGACCAGCCTCACAGGGTGTGCCCTGCAGGAAGAGCCAGGTCAGGCTGGAGTTGTGTGGTCTCGCTGCCTGCACTGGGCACCTGATGCAGTGCTCAGAGGAAGGTTTTTTTTTTGTGGTATGGAATTTGAACTCAGGGCTTTCAGCCTGCAAAGCAGACACACTCTACCACTTGAGCCTCCAGTCTATTTTGCTCGGGTCATTTTGGAGATGGGGTTTTGTTAAGTATTTGCCCAGGCTGGCCTCAAACTGTGATCTTTCAGATCTCAGTCTCCCAAGTAGCTAGGATTACAGGCATCAGCCACAGGTGTCAGCCTGTTTTGTTCTTATAAGAAAATATTTTGACGTTTTCGGATTTAAAAATTGTACATCCTTCAGAAAGAACTGTACATCTAAACAGAATGAAAATAAACTTTAGTGTTAGACTATTCTGGGAAAATACTATCTTCATTGTTCTCCAGGAAATGGACATTTTTGAAACTCTGAGTTTTTACATGAAAAATTTTCCATTTTCCTCACCTAGTGAAGGACACCTTCTGTTGTTGAGTGGGTTTTGTCTTTTTGCATAAGGAAGAAAATGAGAATCTGTGTTCAACATGGAGAAGCAGGCACAGAGAGTTCCTGTCCTGCAGGAGAAGCTGGAGAAAGGGAACTCCTAATTTCATCTCTTTTGGGTGAATAATTCATCAAATCCCAGCTCCTGTTGTCACTGACATTCTTGGTAACAGGAAGTTTGAGTTAAAACTGGAGGAAAAAATCCTGCTCAGAAAATGCCACCTGGCGCTGAGTGACTGCATTGCAGAGCAGAAATGAGACCAAAGCGTTCACCTGCAGCCCTGCCCGCTGGAGGCTCCCATGGAAGCCTGTGTCAGAGGAGTCTTGCGCAAAGCACATTTTACTCACGAATAGGTGAGTGTGTATCGTGTAAGCAGGGGGATGTAATTGCAAACAACAAGCATTGATTATAAATATCTGACACATTTAAAAATAGTTCCCTCTTCCCTAAAATCAGATAGACCGGGGCGGGTGGAGGCAGGGAGCTACGGACAGCCCTGAGGCCTCTATCGTCTGGGGGACAGCAGGCCCTCTGTGGGGCACCCCCTGCTGTGCTAGCTTCTGGGCTCCAGCCGGATGGCCTGTGGTCTCCCTGCACTTGGCCCCGTAGAAAGGAGTGCAGCAAAGTCTTGGCCTTTCCAAACTACAGCCTGTGTTTGTGAGAGAAAACTCAGGCATGCCAATGAGTTTTTTTTAATCACAAAAATAGAATTGTGTCCAGCTTTGAAGTCATAAACAATATGAGGAACCAGGAAGCCAAAATGTGTGTTGTATCTGATGAACCAGGAAAAGTAAAACTCACATTTAAGTGACTTAGAATTCAGTTACACAATAATTCATATGGAAATATTCTATATTAAATAATTAATTTCCTTCTCCCACTGCCATTTCTCAGACCCTTGTTGTTCCCCACGTGCAATAAATGAAACATGGCCAGCTGGCCAAGGGTGCCCTTCCTCCTCGTGGAAGAACAAGTGGCCAGCTCTCAGTACTTCTGTTTCATGTTTTGCAAAGAGAAAATCTGGATTGTACCTGTGGGGGTAATGGAGGGTGGTGCTGGCGTCACCCTCACAGGAGTTGAGAGCTGTTGGACGGATGGCTTCACCCGAGCCCCGTATTCCTGTCCCTCTGCTCTGCTGGACAGACTCAACACGCATGACCCGTCTGTGAAACTAGTGACGTGTTTTATTGGTATCACAACTATAGTCTCGTTATAAAATCACACAAAGGTGCAATGCTGTGCAGGAAACACTCTTTTCTTAAGAAAATAATTTAATTTGCAGCAGAAACAAGCTCAGCTGCTGTACATGTACCGCCTTGAGACGCTCTGGCTGTCCATAAACACAGGGTCCAGGGCGGCCACCTTGGCTGCGATGAAGGAGTGAATGCAGTGCAGGACGGCCGTCAGGTCCTGGAACTCCAGCTTCTGAGAGAAGAGTGAAGTAGGACTTGTTGTTACTGCAAAATGCATTCTAAAAACATGTAACAGACACTGTGCTTCCCCAGCACCTCCCCCAGAAAGTATGAATACACGTGAAATAAGGCTCAGTGCAAAAGGTGGCGAGTCTGATGACACACAGGCTGTGGACACGAGCACACTGCTCTCCTGTTGTGACCCTCTGACAATAGACTGTTTTCCTGAGACTCATACACTTCTGCATCCCTGCTTGGTCTGCACTGAATCTTGTATCAGACCTGGCCATCAGGGTTGGGATTTCAATCTTCACCATGAACAGGACCTGACCTTGGGACTTGGCTCTCAGTATAGCACACCTGTACTATCTGTGACCTCACAGAGCTGGCCCTGTGAGTACCCCAGGTGTATGTGTGGTTTATGAAGATCTTTCTTGAAAGGACAGTCACAACTGTGTGGTGCTGAGTGAGCACTGAGCACAAACAAATAGAGACCTTGGTCCCTACTCACCCTGTCACCATGCAGACAAAAGGAGGAAATGAGGCTGAAGGACCAGGTTCCCCAGGGCTGGTGGGCCGCCACCAGGAGAGAGAACAGGAAAACCCCTTGACACTCCCAGATCTTCCTTCCCTACCTTAAAGATCTCAAATGCTATTATTTGAGCGACTATAACACAAACAGTAATCTTTCTTTTTCCCACAATCTTCCCCATACAAAGTCCCCAGGCCAAATCAACAAGCAAGTTGACAATGAGCCCAGGCTGAAACAGAAGCTAAACCATCTCCAGGAGTTACATGGCTATCGGGAAACATGGCCTTGGTGGGTGGGAGCCCTCCCCAGTCTGCCGCCCATTCTACACTGAGGGAGGAGCTCAGAGCACATCCTTCAGTTTCTTTCTCTTCTGTGCTGGTAGGACAAAGTTCATGACTCCTCAACCAACCACTAGTAGATTGAGGTACTATTTACTGGATTTCAGCAAAATTCTAGCATGTAGCATATTGTAAATTGCTGAGATGCCCATCAGAGAGAAAGGAAAACAGTCAAGTCTTCCTGTCAGCCTCCTGCTGTGCTCCTAGGAGCATCACAAGGCAGGGTGAGGGTGAGGGTGAGGGAAGGTGACCCCTCCAGCAGGAGGGAGGGGGTTCATCACAGACATGGCATAGCATGGCTTGACTCCCACCTTCCTTACAGGGAAATCTGCATCAAGCCCTCTCTTGGTCTCTCCACTGGCCTTCCTTTTAGAAACTCCTCCTTCCTGGGGGCTCAGGACCTATAGGGCCAATCAGAGTCCCATGGGAGGGAGAGGGAGGCTGGGGCTTCATCTTGGAATGACCAGCTGTGAGAAGTGTGGGTGCCACATGGAGCAAGTGAGTCTGCGGGGAAATGATCCCACTGAACAACCAGTGGGGACAGGTCCACTGACCTTGGAGCTGTCCTTGACCTCCAGTGCCTGGGACCAAAGGTGCCCACGATCCTGCATTCCAGTATAAATGTCCCCTTTGGAAATGAATGAATTGTAGCCCAGTCATCTATGCACACAAACGCTGCATTACTGGATTGTGGGGCGGGGAGGCAGAGTCCAGCGTCCCTGTCCTCGGGGCACTCATGAGAAGCTTCCTGTGTTTGAGCTTCACAGAGAAGCTCTAGCTCGCCAGCAGTGGCCTGACCAGGTGGTCTGCAACCACAGGCTGCCCAGCTGGTCCTCTGGACCCATATGTTCTCTCACTGTGAGACAGCACTTGAAAACTTTATTCACCGTGATTTCTCCTGGAAGAGAGAAAAGCCAGGCAACTTTCTAGAGCAAACACAAGGTTCTTGGAACCTAACACAATTCAATTTATTTGTTTCCTATAGTAATTACTGACCTCAAAAGAACCAGTGGAAAAAGCTCCATAAAATCATAGGGTATATGCTTTGCTTTGTAAGCAAATCAGAAATCGCTTTACAAGTTCCCACGACTTATCCAGTAATAGAATGACACATGGACACAGGAAGACAAACGGCTACCAGCATCACTGCATGGATCCGATAGTGGCAGCCGAAGCCACTTTTTGAAGGTACTAACAGAACAGAGTGAACTTAAACATGAAACTCCATCCAAAATCTCCAGACTGTGATGTTTAAATCCAGGAACCAAATGAAAGTCTCTGAAATGTCACTCAGCTCCATCTTGATCATGACACTGGGTGACCAGGAGTGGGTTCCTCCTCAGAGTCGAGGCATCCAGAACCATGTGGCTCCCAGCACTTTCCCAGTCACACCAGCAACTTCTTTAGTCTAGGGAGAGAAATGGTGAGTCCATCTCCTAGGTCTGGTCCCCAGCTTCATTTCCAGGCGCCCTCTGGACACCCTTGCCTGACTCCTCCTTGCATCCATCCTCCTCCACACACCACCTCCCACAGCATCCAGCTTTGTGCTGACACAGCCCTTCATGGGCACAGAAGTTGTGGGATTCTCTTGCTTGTTTCATGGTTGTCATAGTCATAGCTTTGCCTCTGTAGTAGAATTTTTTAAGGACTTCTTTTTTTAAGGTACTAGGACTTGAACTCATGGCCTTCACCTTGATCCACTCCACCAGCCCTATTTTTTTTTTTAAGAGATAAGGTCTCATGGAACTATTTGCCTGGGCTGGCTTCAAACTGCAATCCTCCTGATCTCTGCCTCCTGAGTAGCTAGGATTACAGGTGTGAGCTACTGGCACCCGGCAGGGCAAACATTTTTTGTTCCCCAACCTCACTTAATGTACTTATAGAAGAAGAGGGAGAGAAGGAGGAGAAGGAAGGACACAGAACAAATAGCAAAAATCTGATCAAAGTCAGAGGGCTTTGGGAGGTTCAAGACCTCAAATATTCAGTTCAATATTAATGGATGAACTAAGAGACAGTCAAGATTATTAAGTATGTATAAGAAAACAAAAAAAAGAAAAAAAAAACCCAAGCATTCTTGTGCTCACAAACCTTTAAAACACACTTTTAAATTCTTGGAGAAAATGGAGCATCATAACTTCCTCCTATTCCTATTGCCTCCTCCTCCTCCTTCCTCTTCCTCTGCTTCTCCTTTTCCCTCATCTTCTTCCTTCTGTCCTTTTTCTCAGGACTAGGGTTTGAACATGGGGCTTCCTGCTTGCTAGGCAGAAGCTCTATCACATGAGCTATATATACCCTCAGTCCTTCCCTGCTTCTTAATGACATAAAAGGATCGAAAGTTAAATTTCACAACTGAGCATGCAGTGAAGCCAACACAGCCCTTCCTGTGCTGCTCTGCGCATGTCCCCATGGCATGCAAGTCAGTTTTAATTCTGATGTAGAATTCAAAAAGACAAAAGTTTAAAAACATAACTTTAAACCATGCAAAGGGACATACAATTAAAAGATGTGATTTGCGATGTTGTTACCGGTGGGTGGTCTCAGAAGACTCTGGTTGTGAGAGTCTCACGACCAGGTGTCCTGAACAAAGAACTGGATGGAGACACATGAATGGGAGACCAAAGTTTTCTTATAAGGAAAAATAGAAAGTACACTGCACACAGGGTGGGATTGGGCTAGAGCGAGGTGCTCAAGAGTGCCAGTGGTCTGGTTCAGATGGGCATTTATAAGGATGAGCAAAGGGGGAGATCTGGGTGACTTCGGTGGTGACAAATTCTACTGTCAGGGATTTTATATAACTCTACACAAAATGAACATGCAACTACCCAGAACTCACTCGGTTACAATCATATGCATGCATGTAGGGTATAATTAGGGGGTCTGGGACAATTGGTTACTCAGGGCAAGAGTTTTCCCTTGTGTGCACCCCAGTCTGGATGGGTCCCTTGGGGTCAATCGTCCTGCTCAGTCAGGACACTGTGGTTAGTCATTGCTGTAGCTTCAACCACAAAAGATGAGGAAGATGGGGCTCCATGATGGAGTTACCATCCTTACAAGTAGAAGTAAGATTAGAACCCCACTCCCTACACATACACACACAGTACAGGGACTGCTATGGTTTGGGTCTGAAATATTCCCCAGAGGGCATGTGTTAAAGACTTGCTTGCCAGCCTGTGCTGCCATGGGAGGGCGTGTAAGCTTAGTCTGAAAAAAGCTTAAAAAACTTAGTCTTAAAGAAAGGAAGAAAATTCTGCCACTGTGGCAACACAGATGGACCTAGAGGTCCATCCTAGAGGATGTCAGGTTAAGTAAAAAGTCAGGCCAAAGAGAAACCGCACGCTGCTGTATTCATACGTGAAAACTGACATTGGGGTTCAACGAGGGGAGGAGGGGCAGGAGGACGGCCGGAGGGAAGGGCCTGCTCCATGGCTCAGAGTTGCAGTCCCATCACAAGGAAAGCTCAAGGTGTCAGCTGCACAACACTGAATGCACAGCACTCCTGGGCTGTTCCCCGCACACTGACGGGGGCAGATCTCACGTCCTGTGTTTGTTTCCATGTGCCAAGAAATTTAAGTAGTGGAAAGGTTTAAATAACTTCCAAGGTCACATGAACGGCGTAAACAGCACTGACGTCAAGGAAGGAAGAATGACCACCATGCATCGTCTTCCTGAACCCAACCAGTGTCCTGTGACAAAGACATGGGAAGCACTCCCCTCTCAGACCCTGCTGCCCATGAAGCAGATGATGTCAGAGATGTCAGACACGTGCCACGCATCAAAAACAAAGCTGAAACCTCATCTGCAGGTCTGACTGCTGTACTCTTACTCATTGTCCCAGTCAACCATACTTCCAGCTCCCAGCACCTTTTGGTGGAAATGACACCCATTTTATAGATGAGAAAGCAGAGAGTCAGAACATCCAGGCAGCACCTGGGCTGGCCAAGCAGGTCTGCAATCCCTCCAACCCCCATGTGTTCCTGGACTCTGGTCAGTGGTCAGCTCCCCACTGACCTTCTGTCACCTGTTATCCTCCTCTATAATACGTTTGTCCCAAGGAGCTATGTTTTCATAGTCTTTCAATATCTAAAGGTGGATAAAATAATTATTTAAATTATGGTCTATGGCTTGTCACAGTTTTCAATATTT